GGGTGGTTGTGTGAGGCCGGGTGTCTCACCAGGTGTCTGCCCCAAACTGTGCACGTTTAATTTCTGTGCCTGACATGCTGGCACACAACCCTCCTAGAACTTTGGTAGCAGCAGATGAAGGCTGGTGGAGAGAGGAGAGCTCCCCAACCCCGGCAAAGCCACCAGCTTAAGGTGATCCAACCTCCCACCACCGCTGCTGCTCTGGTGACCGTGCCACGCTTCTCCCCGTTCGTGGGGTTTATTTCACGCAGCCTCTACTGAGCTGTGAGGAACCAGCAGTTCCCAAAACACCTCCAGCTCCTGGCGTGGTTCCTCCAGCCGTTCATGCTGGGTGGTCAGAGAGGATCATGCACCATCCCTGGTGTCAGCTCAGATATCCCCCAGCCGAGATTTACCCCATCCTACAGCCATCTCGAGGCCGTGCCAGCAACCTGAGGACACCCTGAGGTGTTAGGGATGTAGCAGCCACCCTTCACCACGGTTTTACCATCAGCCCCACAGCAAAACCCCTCTTCTTCCAGCGCATGGACCTGGACCGCAGGCGAGAGGAAGCGCGAAACCCCAAGCGCAAACCGCGCCTGATGGAGGAGGATGAGCTGCCATCTTGGATCATCAAGGATGATGCTGAGGTGGAAAGGTTGACTTGTGAGGAAGAGGAGGAAAAGATGTTTGGACGAGGCTCACGGCACCGGAAGGAGGTGGATTACAGCGACTCGCTGACGGAAAAGCAGTGGCTCAAGGTATACATGGTACCGCATCGTTCTCCAATCTCAAACTTCAGCTTCAGCGCTCGGGTCCCTCCCAAAGCAAACACCCTGGGGCTGCAGCCGCCTTCCACCGTGTGCTTACAACCACCCCGCTCCCCAAAGATCCTCAAAATGGCTTCAATTTGACCAAAAAACCTAGCCCTGAGCTGCCCAACCCCGTGGGTGTCCCACCACTGAGCCATGGTGTAGCCAAAGCTGCTCTTAATGAGACCGGGTGGGCTCTGAACGTCCACGTTGGCTACTGATGAGCGTGGCTGCGAGCTGGAGGAGGGAAATAGGATGGTAATGAGATGGGAGCTGCTCCCACGCCCACTCCCTCCATCACCTCGTTTCTCCTGGTCTCACAATTACCAGTTCCCTGAGGGACCTTTATGGTCACCCCAGAGTTGTCCCCATGGCTGAACTTTCAAGTGGGGCCCCACAGAGCTTCTGCTCCAGGAACCCAGCCCCAGATTGTGTCCCCAACCCATTGGAGTTTGGAAACGTGGCATTACCATGGGCTCACAGCACAGGGGAAGCTGCTCCACCATCCCCACAGCCCCTCAGTTGTGTGTCCCAGAGCAGCAGAGAGGGGTTAAGCAGGTTGTGGTTGCGTGGGCAGAGCTGGTGTGTCCTGGTAGGGGTCATCACCGGTAAAAAAAACCCCCCCCTCTCTTGCCACAACTGGGAACCTCCGTGCTAGCAGATCCTGTGTCATTCCCCTGGGCAGGCGATCGAGGAAGGGACGCTGGAGGAGATTGAGGAGGAGGTACGTCAAAAGAAATCCTCCCGTAAGCGCAAACGGGACACGGATGTCAGCTCGGTCACTCCCACCACCAGCACCCGCAGCCGGGACAAGGATGATGAGAGTAAGAAACAGAAGAAGCGTGGCAGGCCACCGGCAGAGAAACTCTCCCCAAATCCTCCTAACCTCACCAAAAAAATGAAGAAGATCGTGGATGCTGTCATCAAGTACAAGGACAGGTAAGAGAAGCGGGTGCCCAGCTCTGGTTGTGCCGTGCCAGCTCCGCTCGCCCACCGTAAGCCTGAACGCCGGCCAGGGGATCCGGCAACGCCGACAGTTTGATCCTTGTGGCTCTTTGGTGGCCGCTGACCCCGCTTTGAGAAGATCAAACACACCACATGTGTCCAGCTGGCAGCTTCCTCTGCTGGGCTGGGAATGAGGGATTAATTAATTAGGCTGTCGAGGGTGGTTTTGCCGCGCTGGGCAGGAGCCACAGGCTGCAAAACTTGCCCTGTCCCTTCCAGCGCTGCCCTCTTGGCACAGGGGGACACTGTTGGTGTGTCTGGTGGATCACAGGCCACTCGGGGCTGTTGATCTGGTGCTGCCAGGTGTTTCCAGCACTGCTGGGCCTTCCTGGCACTGCCCTGCACCGTACAGGTGCCCGCGGCGCAGTGGTTGGTGCTTCACGTGGAGGAGTGGCTGTTTGAAACCCCCAAATCCCTCTTGGGGTGGCTCCAGGCTCTGGGATGGACAC